GCACTATATATAGGGAGAAGGAATGTAAATGTATCATATATATGTATATAATAACTCCATTACGCAGTACAAGTAGTCTGCAGCGTTTCTCACTGCTTCTGAGTTCTGCATGTCACAATTCTTCACTTATCTGTGTTAAGAATTCTTCAAATTGAAAATGTGGTGTAGGTAGTACTCTGTACTCATACAGTTAGTTGTCATGGGGACAATCCATCAGTTTACCTTGTCTCTCAGTTTACCTTGTCTCTCAGTTTACCTTGTCTCTCAGTTTACCTTGTCTCTCAGTTTACCTTGTCTCTCAGTTTACCTTGTCTCTCAGTTTACCTTGTCTCTCAGTTTACCTTGTCTCTCAGTTTACCTTGTCTCTCAGTTTACCTTGTCTCTCAGTTTACCTTGTCTCTCAGTTTACCTTGTCTCTCAGTTTACCTTGTCTCTCAGTTTACCTTGTCTCTCAGTTTACCTTGTCTCTCAGTTTACCTTGTCTCTCAGTTTACCTTGTCTCTCAGTTTACCTTGTTTCTCAGTTTACCTTGTCTCTCAGTTTACCTTGTCTCTCAGTTCACCTTGTCTCTCAGTTTATCTTGTCTCTCAGTTTACCTTCTCTCTCAGTTTACCTTGTCTCTCAGTTTACCTTGTCTCTCAGTGTACCTTGTCTCTCAGTTTACCTTGTCTCTCAGTTTACCTTGTCTCTCAGTTTACAACAATTAACCTTGCATATGAACATATTATAACCCCCAACATGTAATGTAAAGTTCTCTTATTAAAGTCCTACAGATCGCGGAATGTGTCACGCTAGTTTCTCATGTTACATGTCTGCCTTTTCGTGTACAATTACTTAGTTAACTGTTTGTTTTCTTTAGTCCGTATTAGTGGCGTAACGTTGCCTGTTGGCGCCCCCCCCCCCCCCCCCCCCCCCCCCCGAAAATGCGCCCACTAGGTTGTCGCCCCTTCCCTTTTGGCGCCCCTCCCTAAAATTGAACAAATTAGGTGATTTTAGAGGATACGCCGGTAAAATCTCTAAAAAAGTTTGTTTCTAGAGCAAAACATGCAGTTTTGCTAGCACCTCTGCAGTTAAGTTTTTCAAAATTGTCCCACATTCAAACGACGATTTTGCGCCTCCCTAAGATGGCGCCACTGGTCCGTATATATTAGGTTCCTTAATTTTGCTGTTAAACATTCCTATTTCATTAGTCTCACATATTTCTCTGTCTTTCCCTTGACTTTATTTTGGAGAGCATTCTATTGAATGGCTTAAACTTGAAACGAATACCTATTGTAAATGGTGATGATTTGTGCTGTTTTTATTATAGTTGTGTAATGTGTAACAGGATAGGTACACGGAATAGATCATGTGTTAATACATCCCTGATAATACATCCCTGCTAATACATTCCTGCTAATACATCCCTGATAATACATCCCTGATAATACATCCCTGATAATACATCCCTGCTAATACATCCCTGCTAATACATCCCTGATAATACATCCCTGCTAAATGCTAATACATCCCTGCTAATACATCCCTGCTAATACATCCCTGCTAATACATCCCTGCTAATACATCCCTGATAATACATCCCTGATAATACATCCCTGCTAAATGCTAATACATCCCTGCTAATACATCCCTGCTAATACATCCCTGCTAATACATCCCTGATAATACATCCCTGCTAAATGCTAATACATCCCTGCTAATACATCCCTGCCAGGGTCAAAAGGATTTCGCGATTATTTTGGCCAAAAATCGCGATACCGCGAAATTTAACAGGCTATACATTAAACTATACATAAAATTTGTCGCAAATAATGGGAAAAATCGCGATTCCGTACATGCCGCGATTTCCTTTTGTCCCTGCTCCCTGCTAATACATCTTTGCTAATACATCCCTGCTAATACATTCCTGCTAATACATCCCTGCTAATACATCCCTGATAATACATCCCTGCTAAATGCTAATACATCCCTGCTAATACATCCCTGCTAATACATCCCTGCTAATACATCCCTGATAATACATCCCTGCTAAATGCTAATACATCCCTGCTAATACATCCCTGCTAATACATCCCTGCTAATACATCCCTGCTAATACATTCCTGCTAATACATCCCTGCTAATACATCCCTGATAATACATCCCTGCTAAATGCTAATACATTCCTGCTAATACATCCCTGATAATACATCCCTGCTAATACATCCCTGCTAATACATCCCTGCTAATACATCCCTGCTAATACATCCCTGCTAATGCATCCCTGATCCCTAATCCCTAACTCTTACCGTTTTCTTGATATAGCCGCTCGGAAATTACACGCGGACAGACAGATTAGCTTTAATATTTTTCCCTTGCTTATTTGCTTATAAAATTTCCAATGAGCATATTTTGAAATATGAGTTGCTATAGCCACTGTAAATAATAAATGACGTTATCATCCGTTTGTGAGTTAGTAATTCTGATCGCCTGGTTGCCTTTTTTGGGACGCCCTGTAATAATAACAATAATATCATAGTCTGTCTGTCTCTAGCAAACAGTAGTAATAGTATTAGCTTATTAGATAGGCAACTTTGGTATAGGTACATATACTAGGATTAGAGGTAACAGGAATATGACGGGTATAATACCTGGTAACAGATACGAATTTGAAATAAGATTGCCCGATATAACATGGTTAGAAATATGAATTTTGACAGAAGGAAGGATATATAAAGGATAAGAAGGCCGGAAAAATTAACATATTCAAGGGAAGATCACAGTGGCGTTACGTGTCTAATTACCGGAGATGACCACTAAAAGCCTTCTCAGTTAAATTGGTTGCAAACAATGTGCTTGTAATTAAAGTAATTATTCCATTAACAATAACAATTATTCCATTAATTAAATAGAAGTAGGGTTGCCAAGCGATATTATCAGCGATAATTTTCCAAAAATCGTTATCGATTATCGCGAGAATTTTCGAGAATTATCGCGATAATCAACCAATTTTTATTAGGGGAAAATGGCATAAATTTAACATATGTTCTAATCTGTATCTTTGTTTGTAGAGTAAAGCTAGCATAATTTGCAGTGTGATGGTCTACTGACGTGCTGCATGTAGTGTGTAGTGTGTATGTATTTGTGGCCGTGAAAATTGAAATGTTGCGTTATCGCATCTAGGTAAGTAGTTAGTAGGTAAATATAGGTAGTTAGTAGGTGGCTTGAAAGTTGTATGCTCAGACGTAGTTATTGTTGTTTGTTGAAGCACAGAAAGGAACTGTAGTATGTTGATTGTTGAACTCAGACTGATAGAGAAGGTGTGATGGAAGGTATCCTCTCTGATGGTATACTGGATAATTGTTACTTTAAAGTAGGAGAGATCTTATATCGGCAACATATCGGTGTACCTATTGGAATCAACCCTGGTCCATATATTGCTAACTTAACACTTTGGTATTTTGAGAACAGTTTCCTAGATAGTACGTATAAAAATAGATACTATATTGTAAAGAAGTTAAATAATACATTTAGACTTATAGATGATATTACTACCCTTAACTCTGATGGTTACTTAGAGGAATATTTTAAGTTAATATATCCAGACTCACTTACTCTTAATAAGGAAAATGAAGTAGATAGTGCCGCCAATGTATTAGATCTTGATATTTCGATAAATAGAGAGGGGAAGTTTTCTTGTAGAGTTTATGATAAAAGGGATAAGTTTGGTTTTAAAGTGGTTAAGTTTCAACCTTTGATGAGTAATCAAGCTAGTAGTGTATTATATGGCACGTACTGTTCACAGGTTGTGAGATATTCTAGGATTTGTAATAACGTTGTTGCTTTTTCTGATAGGGTTTTGAAATTTACTGATGATTTAATTGAGTTGGGTTTTAGACGGGATCGTCTTAGTAAAATATACTTATCTGTGGTAAAGAGGCATGGGCTAAAGAATAAGTTTGGTATTGGGTGTGGAAATATATTAATGCCATAGCTTGACCTAATGGCATCTATTTCTATTGTTGCGATATATTTGTTGCACGTGTTGAATTTAGTTTTATAATAACTTTGCAACGGCGCAAATCGGAGTCTTAGAATTGCGCGGGAGATTACGCGGGAGATCTATTATTTAGTTTAATTATTGGGCCAGTTCGTTTTATGACGTGTTGACTACGTTTCAATATACTTTATCCCTACCGTTTTATTACATTTTTACTTTATTTACCTATTACTATACATATTTAATCTTAAATTATCATTTTAGTGGAACTATGTAAAAGGGGATCGTTGCTAGCGTCGAGATTGTCTTAACCCTGCCTTAGTCAGTTGAAAGTCTGATAGCATATGTTCCGTTTGATTTGACCAAACTAATGCCTTTCATTGCTTTATAGTTACCAAGGTAGTATTTCCTGTGTATGGAGAATGCTGGACAGCTTGTGAGGTAGTGTGCTGTAGTTTCCTTGTCTTCATCACACTTTTTGCATATGCTGTTGGGTTCGTTGCCTATCTTGTTTTGGAAATATCTGAGATAACTGCATTCTGTGAATAGATGTGTAAGAATTCTGGTATTGTCTCTATTTTGTCGTTTAACATCAAGGTGTCTGTAAAAGAAACTAATAATGATGGATTGGTGAAAATCAGTGGAGGATCTGAAGAGTAAAATACGATTATAGTGAAGTCGAGAAAAGTAACTGTCTAAAATATTAGAGACAGAGAGCGAGTGTAAGGAGCAAAAGGAGGCGGTCCAATTAAATGGGAGGAGAGTCGGATCCTTTGTTTGCCAGTGAATCTGCAATATCATTGCCTTGTATACCACAAATCTAATGTTTACTTACTATTTCATGTTGTTCACCCTGTGCACACTGTTTGCACAGTGCACCACCTGTATTCAGTTGTGTTATTTGATTCGTATTTATACCGATATCTCACAAGTAACTTACTACTACTACTAATTCCCTACTACTTACTACTACTACTAATTCCCTACTACTGACTAATACTACTAATTGCCTACTACTCGCAGTAGTGTGTAGGTAAAGATGTCAAAGTTACGTAGAACTACTGGTCTTGGTGTGTTGATTATTCTTGTAGTGCTCGCTCTTTACCGCCACTACGGATACACGCCTGCAGATTTGGTAGGTGTTATATATACACAGTGTTAAATCAGTTACAATTATTAATTAAGCGTAATTAGATTCAAATTAGAGCTGAGAAAAGTTGAGAGCGCCTGCTTACAGGTCGTATTGGGCAGATTCTGTGGCATTCCTAAAATTTAGTAGTATTATATACTAAATGTAGTGCACCTCCAAGTAGTATTGCTTAAATCTAATGTGTGAAAGGTGGATAATACCTACTCAATTTTGCAGGTGGACACAGAAGAATCAGGCGAAGATGATTCAGTGTCTGTTCATTTCTACGAAGAAGAAAAAGTAGAAATTGTAGCACACTCTAATTCTAAACAGGTAGAAGAGAGGCAACATTTAAGTGCGGTGAAATCGCCGCACTTTTTGCACCATCGGCTGTTATTCTATTCTATTATATTATTACTCTAATTATTATTCGTTCTAATGAGATAATATCGACATAACTATTGTAGACGCTTATTTAACTGCGTACAATGCGAGGCGCAGCCGAGTGCAAATTGATACAATAATGCCAATAAGGCCAAGTTCGATTTATAGCAGTTATTTCACGAGGCGCAGCCGAGTGTAATCGTATTACTATTATACATTCAGCTAGATTCGCGTATACAGCGTGTTACAAGACTCGTGTCCAAATTTGAAATTATGATTTTTTATTTTATGAAGGAGTAAATTAAATGAAATCGATCAGGAACCTCAGTTTAAGTGCACACTCAACTACTCCCTGCTACTAGAGTACAGTTTAAGACATTACGAGTGATTACGCAAGACACTTTGTTAGTTTATTGTCGTGTTAACTAAAATATACTATTCTGTTGAATAATCTGAAAACTTAAAGGATGAAAATTTGGCAACTTGTTCAGTTTAATTGTTTTCTGTCTCCAAATTTGCTGCGCACAAAAACGTTTTGGGCAGCTGTGATGAACTGTACATTTCCAAAATATTACTGCATTTACATGTTGCCTCTGCTATTGTGCCTGCTGTTACACTCTGAGGTAAAACGATTCAAACCGTGATTGGAAAAAATGTAACATTCAACTCAAATAAATTCGCCTGTTATACAGTGCGCGATGATTAGTGTATTATTTATATTTTGTTAAATTGTAACGTTATTATAAGATCTGTAAAATGATACTGTCAGGAGGAGAGCACCTCAAGTCAGGAAGAGAGCACAACAACAGTTCCACTTCCACAAGATACGCTTAAAAACAGATGTTCTCATTCAAAGGGTATCCATGACAACGGGGCTGATCTTCAGGTCAGAGAAACTAACATATTGACTCTGAAACACTGTAACTACATGTAGTGGAATCATAGTTAGAATTGGCGTTGAGATCTTGGTACCAGCAAATTTTGCGTTTATGTAAATTTTATAATTTTCTAAATAGGAACTTTTTCAGGTGTCCGATTTGGTAGAAAGTCTAGAATTTCGGTCTGAAAATCCAGGTTCGTTTTTAATATTGCACTCTAGTAATAACCTAATAACTATCCCGATCATTTCGTCTTTTGAAGAAAACAAATCTCGGAAAGTCTTCAACGTTAAGTTAAACATAATGTTTGTTTTATTATCAGAGACCGGACATTATCCTGGGTTGAAGCCGCTCCCGACTTCAGAGGAATTAACCGTCTTTCTAGTTCCACATTCTCATTGTGATCCTGGTAAGTTGCTCCCGACTTCAGAGGAATTAACCGTCTTTCTAGTTCCACATTCTCATTGTGATCCTGGTAAGTTGCTCCCGACTTCAAAGGAATTAACCGTCTTTCTAGTTCCACATTCTCATTGTGATCCTGGTAAGTTGCTCCCGACTTCAGAGGAATTAACCGTCTTTCTAGTTCCACATTCTCATTGTGATCCTGGTAAGTTGCTCCCGACTTCAGAGGAATTAACCGTCTTTCTAGTTCCACATTTTCATTGTGATCCTGGTAAGTTGCTCCCGACTTCAGAGGAATTAACCGTCTTTCTAGTTCCACATTCTCATTGTGATCCTGGTAAGTTGCTCCCGACTTCAGAGGAATTAACCGTCTTTCTAGTTCCACATTCTCATTGTGATCCTGGTAAGTTGCTCCCGACTTCAGAGGAATTAACCGTCTTTCTAGTTCCACATTCTCATTGTGATCCTGGTAAGTTACTCCCGACTTCAGAGGAATTAACCGTTTTTCTAGTTCCACATTCCCATTGTGATCCTGGTAAGTTGCTCCCGACTTCAGAGGAATTAACCGTCTTTCTAGTTCCACATTCTCATTGTGATCCTGGTAAGTTGCTCCCGACTTCAGAGGAATTAACCGTCTTTCTAGTTCCACATTCTCATTGTGATCCTGGTAAGTTGGTCCTGCTTTATGTTTATCTTTCTCTTTCTATTTCTGTTTCTCTTCCTTAACCTCTATAACTACGGTGCTCATTACCTGGCCGCTCGATCATTTACTAAAGTTGAACAATAGATTTGTTATTAACCTGTTGAGTAGGGATCATCTATAAAGCATCTCCCAGGTTGGTTGTTACAATATGAAGAGTACTACGAGCAGAACGTGAGACATATCCTAACCAACTTCTACCAGTTCGCTATGCAACATGATGACTTCAAATACATCTATGCAGAGGTTACTAACCTGTTTCCACCAAATAGCATATTTAAAATAGTCTTCTTCGTTTATTTTAACCCTCTTTCAACAGCTTCAATTGCGACCTATGTTTTATTGATGTATTTTGTTAGAAATAGCAGCTGCTTCGTAAGTAAATTACCGAACTTTCCAGGTTTCATTTTTCAAGCTTTGGTGGGAGGAACAGAAGGAGAAAGTAAGAGAAGACATGGGTCGACTAGCTCGAGAGGGCAGATTCGAGTTTGTTCAGGGAGGATGGGTACAGAATGACGAAGCAAACACTCACTACTTCGCTATACTAAACCAGATGCTGGATGGGCACCAATGGCTGAACACTAACTTCCCTGATGCTAAACCTAGAGCAGGGTGGGCCATTGACCCGTTTGGTCTGTCACCCTTCATGGCTCAAGTTAACAAACTGTTTGGGTTAGATGCCATGCACATTCAGGTACACATCGTAGTGTTTGTTTGTTTAAACAAATTGCTTTACTATACAGTACATCTTCATCATTAATTAGTTTGATTTGTCGTTATGTTCAGAAATAATAAATATTTTTAATTTGCTCGGACTAAAGCTGAGCATATTTCAGAGAGTGCATTATACGGTTAAAAAACATTTAGCTGAAAGCAGGCAACTAGAATTTAAATGGAGACAATCTTGGGGTAAATGTTTACAAAATTTAGAACAAATTCTTAGTTGTAACGAATTCTCCTAAAATATGTATAAACCTATTTCATTGTGGCTGTTTCAGAATCAGCATGGAAAAATACATCCAATGATGCTACTTTCATAATATGTCGAGGTCCCTTGTGTCAAAAAACTAAAACTCCGTAGCGAGTGATTTAGTGGAACCGTAAAGTTTTACTGATAATAAAATAATTAATTTGACTCATTTTCCCAGATTCGAGTGGTGAGACTGATATATTGACTGAATTGGGAGCGTTTTCTGGATACAACTCTCAGTCTACCTGTGGACCTGAGCCGGACGTTAGTTTTCAGCTTTCTGTTAAATATTTTCTTATTTTGAGTACCTATTACCTACTTACATAATTTAATCATGTTTGCTTACTTAATGTCCCGCAGGTTTGTTACCAATACCACTTCGCTGCGTTTACTAACCCTAAGTTCAGACCACACAGACTCCTTCATAAAACCAGTCCTTTAAACCTGAAGGAAAGGTAACTTTTTAGGAGGGGGGCACTTAGTAATTAGTTTTTATATCAATATAATGTCGGGGGTTAATATTCATTAGGTACCCCTTCATTGCCCCCCCCCCCCCCCCCCCCCTTCATTGTTATAATATTTAACATCTTGGTATTTATATAAGAATGGTAATTACAATGGTTGAAAATAGTAGTGAGATATAATGAGACAACTTCTGAAGGTCGCTGAAGATCTTAGACCAGTGGCGAAAGAAAGCAGCTCTACACAGTGCTAACGCGGTCTTCATTGAGCTGGGGTTCGATTTCTCTTATGTTATTAAAGGAGACCTAGACTCTGTTTACGACAACTATAAGGTGGGTTTTGACAATATCTTCTTGCCGTTATGTATATAACTGTAACAATGTATAATAAACGCAGATGTTGGTTTTACAATTAACAATATCTTCTTGCCGTCTGTATATAACTGTAACAATGTATAATAAACGCAGATGTTGGTTTTACATTAACAATATCTTCTTGTTGTTATGTATATAAATGTAACAATGTATAATAAACGCAGATGTTGGTTTTACATTAACAATATCTTCTTGCCGTTATTTATTTTTGTAGATGTTGTCAGTTTAAAACTTTCACTTCTTCATAAGAGTAATAATTTTAATCTCCCCAGCCATTAATGGAGTACATAAACAACAGCACCGAACTTAACACACAAGTGAAGTGGGGGACAGTAAGTGACTACTTTGACCACATCAAGAACAAACCCGACAAGTTCCCAACCCTCAGCGGGGACTTCTTCACCTACGCGGACAGGTTCGACCACTATTGGAGTGGATACTTTACAACCCGACCCTTTAACAAGAACCTGGACAGAGTTCTAGAATCTTCACTCCGGAGAACTGAGATCCTGTTCTCGCTCCAGAGAGCGAGGGAAGATGTGAAGAAGAAGAAGGAGGATGTGAAGAAGAAGAAGGAGGATGTGGAGAAGCTGACAAGAGCGAGGAACACCCTGTCCCTATTCCAACATCACGATGGTATTACCGGGACTGCCAAGCCCCGGGTCGTGGACGACTATGGGAGCAGGTCTGTCTTAATTTGTAACATTCTGTTGTTATAATACATAATATATATATTACTATTATGTTATAATCGTTTATTTCAAATTGAAAATAAGGCACATTATGTTGCAAAAAACAATCGTAGATTGTAGATATTTATTAAAGGTGATTGTTAGATAGGCTCTGACAGTGACCATTACCAGGCTGTTCAAAGCGTACAAAGCGTGTGATGAGTTATCAGCAGCAGCAATAAGACACATAATGGCAGACTCAGGTACAGACCTGAACCCCATCAGAATAAGGGCCGCTTTTAAAGAACTGGAAAAGTTTAGAGTTTTAGAAAAGGAAGTAGAACTTGTAGTGGTCAGTACCATACCCAGGAGGACAGCTGCTGCTCAAGTCATTGCTGTACAAGCTCACCTCAATTTGGAGGTAACTGATTAAAACCTTGTTTTTTTTACCACTAGACGTTGTTTTATTGAAAATAAAAGAATATCCTGAACTTTCTTAAAACGACTGACCAAGTTATTTACCAGTATAACTTATTCACCAGGTTGTGGGTAATAGAGGCGAAGTAATACCGCAGCAAGTTGAGCCTGACATTGAGTATGGCAAACTTAATCCTAAATCAAAATTAATCACCTTTTGGACAGAGCTTCCATCAGTTTCCATTAATACGTAAGTAGTCACCCCCCCCCCCCCCCCCCCCCCCCCCCCCCCCCTATAATATAGTGTCTAAGATTACATTATAATATTAAAGTTCCCCCCCCCCCCCCGCTTCCTACACCCCGGCTAAAAGGACCTACGTTTTATCAGATTCCAATTAAACTGTTATTACTATAACACACAGATTCCGATTAAAGAATACCGAACAAGTTAAAACTAAAACTACAGCGAAGATGTACACATTTGGGGAGAAGTCTGTATCTCCCACCTGTCAGGATATCGTCCTCGGACAGAATAAACTCGTTATAAAATTAGACTGTAAATCAGGTATGTTAATTGACGTTTATTTTTGAAACTTAGTTTGTATTCAATACAATTTCTCGGGGGTTCAATAACAGGCAACGGCCACTGCACTGCGGGGGTTTTACAGCCTACAAACTCTTTTCTTCGGAGCATAAGTGTTTTTTTTTAATCCCAAAACGTTTGTAATGTTGTTAAAGATATAGATTGTGCAAAAAACTGCCTCTGCTTAAATATTCTCTAATATCTTTAACATTTCGTGTACTTAATGAGAAATTAGACTAACTTCCGTATATGGTCATATCACACGTGATCGAGACAGTTTTTCGCCAATGTCTCGTCAGGAGAGCATTTTAACCCTATTATTTTAACCCTATATATGTCAAGGGAGGTAATTCGGAATCAGCGTCCGAAAATACATCGATTGAAGTTGGTCTCAACTGTCGGTTATATACTATATACTAATGCCAATGGGGGGAGGGGGCACACACACACACACACACACACACACACACACACACACACACACACACACACACACACACACACACACACACACACACACACACACACACACACACACACACACACACACACACACACACACACACACACACACACACACACACACACTAGGTACAGAAAACTCCATGCTGACAATTTACTTCAGGTCGTTTAAAGACTATTGAGAAAAGAGGAAAGACAGTAGATGTAAACCAGGAAGTTATAATGTACCCTTCCGCACTCAGTGGGGCCTACTTGTTCCTGCCTACTGGAGATCCCACACAGCTTTGTGAGCTTACGTTTATGTGTTATTTATCATTATTCTAATTATATTTAATTGTTCTTGTTATCTGTAATTAATCATCTAAAGTCACGAGCGTTTTACGGACATATTTCTTTATAATCTCTGTTATACTACAGAGTTTATATAGACTGTAGTTATTTATTTTAGAATTACCCTTTAAATTTTATTGATTTAATAAACTTTTCAGTGACGGACTCGACACGTGCTGACATTGTATTGGTGAAGGGATCTCTGCGTGACAGAGCAATGGTTACCCTTAAATACCAGGAGAGTACCATCGTGCTGACCTACACTGTGTATCATCATCAGGGTTCGTTATTATACACTTATAAATATCTCCGGGATTTCGACGCGGGATCATATTATCACTCAGCCCGGCCCGCTGTTAGATAAACATCTCAAGGTGATATCATCCCGCCCCGGAAATTTGTATAAACCCGGCCCGCTTTTTAGTCGTAACTGATGTTTATCATTCAATTCTCCGACTTACAATAATCAATGATACTGCTGATTAGAACTCGATAATAGTAGAACAGTTAGACGCGCGATCACGTGGGCGCGTCACGTGCGTACCACGTGCCACCAATAGCATACGCCGAGTCTATACCACGTGACACGAAAGCGCACCACGTGATATGAAACATCGTAACCGTCCACTTCTTTTACACGCAAATTCCTGGGAACGTTGCCAAAGCAGCTAATTCTTGGAATTTCTCCAACGCGTGGCGTGAGAAGTTGGCGACTAGCCAGCTACCCTTGTCCGTGCCCTAAAAATAGTATTGTTTTGCTTGCTCTCCTTCCAGCTCTTGTTCCTGCTAACGTTCAAGCTATTGCTCCACTATGACAGATCGGTTTGACATTCAGATTGATGAACTGCTTTCCAATCGTGTTCCGGACAGTACAGTTAGAGTCAACAACTGGGCTCTAAACAAATTTAATTCTTGGCTTCAGTCATCCAGATTTGCTCGTGACTTCAATGACTTTGACCAAATTCCTGTTCAACGACTCAACTACATTTTAGAGTGCTTTCTTGTTTCTGTTGGATTTGACTTGAAGATGAAGACTATGTATTCTGTATAAATCCCTTGTCGAAATCGCCGGAGATAATTATAATCCATAAACACTTCACGCTCAGGGCTAAATAAATGTAATCCCTCAGCTGGCGCTTCGGGATTACATATTAACACAAAACTCGTGCGCTGCGCGCACTCGTATGTGTTTATCAGATCATCCCGCTAGCGCGGGATGATCTGTTATATAAACCCTTTGCGTGGCGGGTTTATGTTATTATAGTTTTGTTAGTAGCGGTTAAGGTGCCATACGTTCCAGTCTGGTGTTTTTGCAGTAATTTTATTTTTAGTATTCATTAGATTTGTTAATTTAACAAGTTAATTCTCCTAGGGTCTGAGAGCGAATATTTGGATTTAGAAATAATGTCAGATCTAAAGAATAACGGAGACTTGGCGATCAGGTTAAAGACTGATATAAAGAGTGGAGATAGTATCTACACCGACCTTAACGGCCACACCATTCAGCATCACAAATACAAGAGTAAGCTCAAGACACAGGGCAACTTCTTCCCCATGCCTTCAACTGCCTTTATCCAGGATTCTTCAACTCGTCTCTCTTTGTTGGGGTCAGAACCGCATGGAGTGGCTTCTTTATCTGAGGGTGAGTCTTCTCCCCCCCCCCCCCCCCCCCCCCCCCCCCCTTTACAAATTAAGGTTATATCAGTATGAATCTACCAACTATAATTTAAAAGTGCTAAATATATGCAGGTTGGATAGAAGTGATAATAGACAGGAGATCTAAACACGATGACGGTAGAGGACTAGGGGAGGGTATCCAGGACAACATCCCCACTCCCGCTCACCTCCGTATCCTGGTGGAAGCTAGATCAGAGACCCAGGCACGCGGGGAGGGGTACAGAGTGGAGAATCCGTCTATAGTTAGTCACTGGACCCTCCAGACCCTCCTCCACCCTGCGTTCCTTCTGTCTCGTCCTCTTAGTAAACAAACCCTTCCTGCCAGCGTGCAGCTAATGTAAGTTAGAAGCTAAATAAAAAGTAAGTCCTGTCAAAAAACTTGGAATTATAATTGACAAAAACTATAAGAAAGTTCTGACTCAGTATCTGAACATCTCACTACACATTCCACACCCTACATCTCCTGCCCACCTAGGAAACCATTGCCTTGTGACGAGGAGCTGGTTAATCTCCGCTACGTTGACAACCAAACGTGTCAGCTGATCAGACGAAAGTTAGGATTTACTTGTGATATTGATGTCTCGAACAACTGCGATTACCAAGATACGGTAGGTTTTTGTGATTGTATTCTTTTTACTATCTTAAAATATAGATAAACGAGCTTAATAGATCACTCTACACTGGAAGATGCCAGATGGAACTTCGTAATTTTGCTAAAAGGACCACTACACCACTACACCGGCAAGCTGACGAGTTATCGACGAAAAAACTGTTTTTATCACATTTTTGAACAATCAAAATATAATTTGGAACATTACAGAAACGTTATTCAAATCTCAAACAGAAAACAGCATATTTCAAAGCTTTGTGTTTTGATCATATTATAATCGTGGGTGTAACTGATGAACAGGAAGTAAAAGAAAAAGGGATAGGAAGGATCCATCTGAGGTCTGGCTCATGTCAGGAAGTGATGAAAAACTCACAGACAAAATCATCCGTGGCTGTCTACCCCGTACGTAGGCAGTGTCCGAGATTTCAGCCGTCAGGATACACTGAAATAGTGCAGAGCTGATTACGACCAGGGTCCTCACGGATACCCCGCCTCGGAGGTCGAGCCAACGCCCTGCTTTCGATACTTATGTCTACTGGTGGAACCTTCATATTTTCTCTACTAGCAGTCACTGTAACCCTATCACTCGGGCCCCACAGCTCCTACATGGACGCACGGCCGGGAGCCCATGTAGGGATAAAAGCCTTCCATCACTTCCATCACAGATTAAAAGCTGGGAGGAGAAAAAGGAGGAGAGGGAAAGGAAAAAAGAATACAAAAATATAAAAAAACTGAGAAAGGAAACTAGTTATCACATGTCATGATGGCTTTTGATGATTTTGTCAGCAGTCAGGGTTAGCCGTTATGATTGGATTCAGAGTGAAGGGTAATGATTTTAAATTTTGCGTCATGGCCATCTAGAGAACTTGATAGTCCAGTGTAAAGTGATTTATTATCATATTAGAAAATACATAACAAATTGAAATCGAATGAACGATTTACAACTAGTTTGTCAGTTAGACTACTAATTTTATTTATTGTTTATGCTAATTTTTACATCATTGTACAAAATACGTTGATCCTTATTTTTTCAGGCCATTGAGGAACTTTTCACGAACGATGTTACAGTTACACTGGAGGATCACCCATTTTCACCTTTTCACCACAAAAATGACTCCAATAAAAGTGATCTTAAAGCTATGGAATTTTCTTCCGAATATGTGACATTTCGTAATTAGCCTATTAGTGTGCAGTGATTAATTTAAATTATTGGTATTTTATTTTACATAACTGAATATAGTTATTATTTCCAACCCATTTATTTGGACGGACATTAAATGAACGGACATAATTATGAACGGACATTAATATGAACGCTAGAAGGCATTCAAAACCATCAAAAATCCGAATTTTTTTTTCTTTTTTTTAACGTTTTTTATTTCAGCAAATGATTTTTAAATCATTTTATACAGTAATGAGTAATCAGTAGTTAATGACTAGACAGGGTTATTGAAAATTACAAAGAATAAAATGGCGCGTCTGGACTTGGGACCAGCTCATACATCATTGATCATAGTACATTTCATTAATGGCAATGCCCTCTGAAAACCATTCTGCTAGCTAAAAAATGATATATTGTTAGGCATTAGGTAAAACGACAAACGTACTAAAAATTAAAATTAAGATTAAAAATTGAAAACGAACTGAACTAACAAAAAGAATGACACGTCATGCTAAAAATATACATATTCCGAAGTAAGATAAGAAAAGCAGTCGTTAAGCAGTAAAAATGTTAAAATGATCAGTGTCTGATATTACTGGGCCGCGCTCAGCCTGTCATTCCGCCTAATCTCTATTCATGTTTATGAACACGATAGCCTGAGGTCCCCAGGTAATGTCTGATAGTAAGATCACATATCATCTTCATCAAATTAAATGAGTTTTCGTGCATGAAATATGAAATAATCCATGCTTAAAGCATTAGTGATTTCTAGCTTTATGGAAACCTTTTTTATCAAACTACCCCGCGTGGCTATGCGTGGTAATGCATGTTTTCCTTTGACCATTGTTAATGATCTGGCCCGGCGCGCGTTACTTCGTAGCACTTGCCATCGGGCCATTTCGAGAAGAAAGCGGCGCGCGCTACTTTGTACTTCGAAGAAATTTAGACGAGTAACATCCGTCAAGTTTTTCTTTGATTGACGATGTCAACCCATCGACTTCGAGATTGTTGCTCTGCAAAGCAAAGCAACGATCGAAGATGCGAAACAAAAATGCGAAGCAAGAATGCTAGTTTGCGCGGCTCTTACTAATGACTAATTCGCTCGCCCAAAAATTTCACGTGACTTTGGTTTTAATGGTTTTGCAACCGTACAAAACGGTTTTACTTAAACCCTAATCCCATGCCAACCCTAACTTTAACCATAACCCCGACGCTATCCATAACCCTTACCACAATCCTAACCCTAACCCAAGCCTTAAACAATCGAATTCATGTTTTATTAGCATGTCACGTGACCAAAACGGTTTTTTGCCCATAACTCTCCCAGGAAGCATTTTTACCCTACGTCATGGAGGGTGAGTCGGAATCAGCATCCAAAAATACACCGATTCGGATCAATTTCACACCCAAACTAAGGGCCTTTTCACAAGAATTTTCTTAAAATTTGGACGAGCGATTTAGTAGAAGCGAGTTTGCGCGGCGCGTCGAAGCGCTCGAAGTTTTCCTTTGTGACACGTGACACCATAAGAAAAACTACCAGTACCTACCTACTATACCCATTCTCAATTCCTACCACTTTTAACCATCTACTAAAAAAGTTGATGGATAAAATGATTATATAAAAAATGATTATATAAAAAATGATTATATAAAAAATGATTATATAAAAAATGATTATGTTATTGTTTTCTTGATGAAGCCGTTCGGAAATAACATGCGCACAGACAGACAGACAGCTACAGACACACCTTCTGAGATTATAGTTATACGGTTTAAGATAACCTACCAAGATAAGACGCGCGCCGAGTTGGACTCGTCGACGATCTAGGAACAAATATTTAATTTTACGAACAAATATTTTATGAGTATCACCCGTTAAACTTAATCGTCAGCTGCGTCTATCATTATGTAATTGTAGGGCGTATGTAAGTATTGGAATGAAGGAGAATCCCATCCCCTACAGTGAACTCTCTTTTGAAATATAAACAGCAGACATTTTCTTTTTTAAACTTTAATGAAACCGAAGAACGGTACATGAATTGAATATGATCACTTTTTAGTTCACATTTAGTGTTAACAATATACTGCGACATATCACTTTAATGTCAGATTTAATAATTGATAATGAAAAATAGAACCTGATATAAATATGTATCGGTACTCGTGTATTGAATTTAGAGAAATTTTAGAAAAACTTCTCTTTTACTTTACCAAACATGCGATATATAATACTATACACAAAGAAATTAATTACAACCTGACTGGTAGTGGTATAAAATAAGGGCTTTAAAGTCACATTCCATATTTATAACATCAGATAGATTGTAGAATTTATAATTTCACAACTACCCCACATAAATTTACCCAATTTGTAACAAAATACGCACATAAAGTCCCAAAGCTAATAATTTAGGGTAAATCGTGCACAATCATACTAAATTAAAACAGTTAGCAGTATAAAAATATAATTCTGCGATCCTATCTGAAGAGAAATTATAATATCTACAAAATTTAATATGCTTCGTTAATATTGTGTCATTATGTAAAATATGTCATCGAAGTAAAATATCTGCACAAGTTTTCAATTTTCAAAATATTTCGTTCAGTATTTGATCTTTATTTCCGTAGTGATTTAATCCAATCCCTCATATATTGTGTCTATTTCCTCCTTATAATATTTAACGATATTGTGTCGTTTCAGTTTGAATGTAGGGGTAGTCAGATCGTTCTCAACAGTGAAGGGTTCGTGTGAAAGATGTATTTTCTTGGCAAACTCGAAACTTTTTAATCCACCGGCACGTCCTTTTTCGTTTACCTGAACAAGGAAACATTAAACCTGGCATAATAAAGCTTTGTTATTTTAAATTTTAAATAAAACACAAAGTAACTGCCAATCATCAAAACATTTCCTCACCTGTTTCACGATCTCGTCCTTCAAGTCGTCTGTCTTGCACAGCTCCTCGTAACTCCCCTTAATACCTTTACTATCAGCCCAGGAAGCTGTGGCTAGCTCATCCGGTACAACTATAGCAACCAAGTTGCTCTTCAGGGAGTGCCCGTAGATCATGCACTGACCTACAAGCGGTGATCTGTCGTACAACAGCTCGATCTTCTCCGGAGCAATGTATTCTCCCTGAGATTCCAGATATTAGTGTCATGGTATAAGCTGAGTAACAATTTCTACTTTATCATACTGTTAATCTTGGGATAATCTCATACATGTCAAGTGTCAACTCCAAATCAAACCTGGCTGAGTTTGAATATGTTCTTCTTCCTGTCGATGATCCGGAGGGCCCAATCCTCAGTCCACTCTCCGATATCCCCGGTATGTAACCACCCGTCCTCATCCACTGTTTCTTTTGTCTTCTCCTAGATTGACAGTGTTTAGTATAATACATGGTATACATGGTATACATGGTATACATGGTATAGATATTTGTAATAATGTAGACTAGGAGTAGGGTGACGGGGCATATGGAAATTTCATCAACTAAAGTTTTCAAAAATAACATCATGTCATGAAGCATTACCTCGTTTTTATAGTATCCCTTGAAGACGTTGATGCCCTTGATACAGACCTCCCCCTTGTTCTCGGACGCCAGGTATCCCATCTCCTCCACGCTCATCAACTTAATCTGGCACGTGTCCAGAACACCTCCCACGTGACCAACAGAGTGGTCAGAGTAGTGGGTCACAGTACAAGCCCCGCAGCATTCCGTCTGTCCGTAGCCCTGAATAATGGTATTTTTAACAAAGTTGGTTCGGACTTCAAAGTTGGTTTTCAAAAGTAACAAATTTGTAATCCTTTGAATCGTAAATCTATTTAATAATGCGCATTTGGCCAACATTTTGATTATTTCCAGTGCAAGCTAATGAGAATCAAGATACACAGTGTAAAATTTGTGTCAACTAATCATGACAGAAATTAATTTAAGATCACAGGAGAGCTGATCTACTGATACGTAATTATCATAATTACCAACCTCAAACACGGATGCGCCTAAAGCTGCTCTGAAGAATTGGAGAATTTGAGGTTTGATTGGGGCAGCACCAACAGCGATCACCCTTATGTTGCCTCCTAACATATTCTGGATCTGAAATCGGGAAATTATTACTCAGGAGCATGTTTAAAATAAAATCTAAATCTAAAATCACTATTCAAAACGAAGCGAGAAATAGAGAAAATATCTGTTGAATTAAGGTTAAATAAACCTGTTTATATATAAATTCAACAGAATATATACGAACCTTCTTGAAGATAACATAGTCCCACATGGAGCTCTTTGTAACATATCCAGCCTCGACACCCTTCATCTTACTGTTGAGCGCAAAGTTGAAGAGAGCGGACTTTAGTTTAGAAGCTCCCACCTCAGTCATGACCTTGTCATACAACCTGTTTAGGATTCTGGGTACCGCAGGGAAAAAAGAGGGTTTCAGAGCCTGCATGTTTATTGCTAGTTTCTTGACATCACCCTCCCAAAAACCGATGCTTGCTCCCACCAGAATCATGGAAGTTTGAACCAGACGCTCGAAGATGTGAGATGCTGGCAGGTAGGAGACATGGACATCATCCTTCTTCATCACACAGTCACCAAGCTGTGTCATCACGCTCACTGTTGCGGCCACTAGGTTACGGTGGGTCAGCATCGCTCCTTTCGGGAAACCCGTAGTACCTGGGAAAATCCATTTAGAAATTGTAAAAAGATACATGAGGGAGAGATAAATTAATGTTGAAGTCAAGTAAAAGTTTAAAAAGGAGGAAAAGAGATACTGACCACTTGTGTAGCAGAGAGTACAAACATCGTCAGGAGTAGGGAAGTTAGGCTCAACAGGGTTATCCTTCCCAGTCTGAACAAACTGATCCCAAGTCACCAGATCAACACCATGCTCCTCGGCTGCTTTCAGCTCCTCGGGGGTACACTCTTTGATATCAGGAGAGGGCAGCTTTACAAGGAGCTTTACTGTCTGGGTTTCAGGCAGGTACGAAAGATAACTTTTCAGAGTTTTGGGATGAGCGAAGAGAACAGTTAGACCGCATTGGTTGAGGATGTATTTCACACCTTCCTCTCCGAGGGTGTCGTATAACGGCACCATCGTCATGGCCTGAACATCACACCCCAGCGAGAGTAAGGACCACTCCGCTGTGTTTTGTGAGCTGATTCCTACCATACTATTTTTCTCAAGTCCTCGGAATATCAGAGCAGATCCTATCTGTTTCCGTATCGTATCTGCTTCGTTATACGAAACAAACGTATATCCCTGAAACAATACATTCAGACACAGCTAGATACAGTAAAACCCCGATTTACTGCGGAGTTTGGGGGAAGGGAACATCCGCGGTAAATCGGGGTTCTGCTTGTTTACATTATGCATGTAAACTGTTAAGCCCTATTTGGGGGAAGGACTTGCCCGCGGTAAATCGGGGTTTGACTGCACCTGGAGCTGGTGAACTCTTTTAAAATGATAAATCAATTTTGCACTTGATTTTTTTGGTCGTATTGTGTATGCAATTTGTAAAAACAACAACTTATCAATAACTACCTCTCCTTGGGTCGTTCCGAGGAAGTTCCCATCCCCAGTCACCTTCCTCCCCTCCTCAAACAAATCCGGTAAGGTCCGTTCCGGATTAGTCACTCCGTACAAACCCTTGCCTTCGGAGTGGATACTAATCCGGGCCCCCTCGGTCGTGCCCGGAGCTTCTAGCGACAGTGCTGCCATTTTCTGGAAAGAATGGTGAGGTGACGATGTTGGTTTTAATATACATATTGAATACATAAAATGCAAGAACATATTTAAGTTAAACTTAACCTACAGAGCTTAGCTATGAATTGGAGAAACTAAAATTGTCTGCCAAGAAATTAATTTCATGAATGGACGATTATTTTTTGCCGCATGGTTAATGTTCTTAAGTTCCATTAGTTGTTCCATTAGCTAGTGTTACTTTAGAGAGAGAGAGAGAGAGGGCTGCGGGAGCTAGAGAGAAGTTAAATGTGGTAAAATATTGTATATAATTATATTATTGTGCAATGTACGGCTCCGTGGACTCAAACTTAATGAAAGTCAGGACAATGTCAAACAATGAATAAGATCAACAGTGAGGCTCTTTAAAGAGCTGTTTCTGTAGCGTGTGTAGGTGTTTAGGAAACACACGTGTCAGTAGAATATTAACAGGAAAATGGGCAAAAGACAAAAAGACGAAAGAAGTCCAAAGAACTGAAGTTGGAATCATTTCGGATCGTAGAAGCCAACCTTTACCTTTCATCAACAGTTTAAGATATTCTACGTTTGGGCGAGGCAATGTTAACTATCTTATGAGACATATTTATGTTCGACATTATTCCGGTGACCTAAATGATTTGGGAATGAACATATGAGGATTTGTGTCCGAAAAGCCGTAGACTTTCGTACCATTTAGATATGTCTTTTAAGGTATACTATCGATTCTGGAAGTTAATAAAGCATTGTCGTTTGATACTTATCTAAACAGAAAAAAGGATTACCACTAACTAATTGGTGGTATTGGTAAAAAAGGCGTGGATTTTCCAAATGTCACAGGATTGAAGATGTTTGCCTTTGTCAATTTGATTTGAGGGTCCATTTAGTATAACTAGCGGAAATAAAACCCGTCTAACGTTAAGTAATAAGTGGTGTCAATCTAAAACAATATCTATTTCTTTTGTGATGTACATTTAAAGGTGAAACTTCCAGTATCTAGGGTCAAATTAAAATTCATATATCTACTAATGTAGAATAAATATTGAAATCCAAATTCCTGATACACGGGCCGCATTCCTTTAACAACAACATAACTGAATAGTGAACTCGTATTCAAACTAAGTTATAACTTAGTTATAACTAACTTATTATCTTATCTAAGTATCGTTGACATATAGGCTTATGTTAAAGAGAAGGTTTTACATGATATCATAGACTGCAAAAATAGCTTGCTCGTTACATTGAAAGCTGAACAAGAACTGATGATTATCTTTAACTAACTGCTCCTGTTAAAATAGGAACTCTCTAAATAAAAGTCTAATAATCGAAGTCTTAGAAAAATGTCTTCGTTAACATCTAGAAAAGTGTTAAACTTAAAGGAGGCATCTGAACATCAAAATATAATTTGAAACATTAAAGTAACGTTATTCAAATCTCAAACATAAAAAGTATATTTCAAAGCTTTTTGTTTTGATTATATGATTGTGAGTGTATATACGATAAAGACGATTGCCAAGGAATTTACAACTCGTGTCTTCAAAATAATTCCTTTGAATTGTAACTTATTGCTTATTGTTATGTTAGAGTTATAATTATCGCGCATCAGTACCATTATGCCAGTATGAAGACTTTTATTCAAATTTCTGATCGTTTCTGAATAGACTCAGTGAAGAAAGATTCTAATGGAAATAAATAGCTGAATAACGTATCGACATTTCTAAGTCATACTCATATTCTCTAATTATTTGTCATATAGTAGTGTTGAAAGTATTCAGAAACAATCAGAAATTTAAATAAAAGAACTATCAAATCATGAGACTCAAAAACACTACACGAATCCACATTCCACAAGTATGAAGACTGTAATGTTAGCGCCACGTTAAATGTAGTACATTGGAATTTGGACACATCCCAAAATGTCATAAATCATGTATTCTACAATGTACAACCATTTATATTTTATTGCTACATATAGTATCAAAGAACTTTATATGCTATAATATCTTAATTAGAGTACACTGAACAGTACTACAGTTTCCACTTTGCAGAGTTATGAAGATTGAAGAAACATTTTCACTAGAACCTAGAGGACTAGGACTAACAATGTATAACAGAGTGTATGAGCCGTTACCGGTTGTAAAGATCATTATTCTAATTAGATCATACAGTTGGGCCGATCGTCTGATCTATTCCACTAAACCGTCTATAAGCTAGTGTAGTTACTACAGTATCTGGTCTAGTACGAGATACAGTTATTTGTTGTAGTGAGATCTTGTAGCAAGACCTCTAATAGCCGAGTGTAGAAGTGAGCCAGGCTGCTTTGTGTTAGAGATGAGATAAGAGTGTAGAAGTGAGCCAGGCTGCTTTGTGTTAGAGATGAGATAAGAGTGTAGAAGTGAGCCAGGCTGCTTTGTGTTAGAGATAAGATAAGAGTGTAGAAGTGAGCCAGGCTGCTTTGTGTTAGAGATGAGATAAGAGTGTAGAAGTGAGCCAGGCTGCTTTGTGTTAGAGATGAGATAAGAGTGTAGAAGTGAGCCAGGCTGCTTTGTGTTAGAGATAAGATAAGAGTGTAGAAGTGAGCCAGGCTGCTTTGTGTTAGAGATAAGATAAGAGTGTAGAAGTGAGCCAGGCTGCTTTGTGTTAGAGATGAGATAAGAGGATGTGGAAGTGAGTCAGGCTGCTTTGTGTTAGAGATGAGATAAGAGTGTAGAAGTGAGTCAGGCTGCTTTGTGTTAGAGATAAGATAAGAGTGTAGAAGTGAGTCAGGCTGCTTTGTGTTAGAGATGAGATAAGAGTGTAGAAGTGAGTCAGGCTGCTTTGTGTTAGAGATGAGATAAGAGTGTAGAAGTGAGCCAGGCTGCTTTGTGTTAGAGATGAGATAAGAGTGTAGAAGTGAGCCAGGCTGCTTTGTGTTAGAGATGAGATAAGAGTGTAAAAGTGAGCCAGGCTGCTTTGTGTTAGAGATGAGATAAGAGTGTAGAAGTGAGCCAGGCTGCTTTGTGTTAGAGATGAGATAAGAGTGTAAAAGTGAGCCAGGCTGCTTTGTGTTAGAGATGAGATAAGAGTGTAGAAGTGAGCCAGGCTGCTTTGTGTTAGAGATGAGATAAGAGTGTAGAAGTGAGCCAGGCTGCTTTGTGTTAGAGATAAGATAAGAGTGTAGAAGTGAGCCAGGCTGCTTTGTGTTAGAGATGAGATAAGAGTGTAGAAGTGAGCCAGGCTGCTTTGTGTTAGAGATGAGATAAGAGTGTAAAAGTGAGCCAGGCTGCTTTGTGTTAGAGATGAGATAAGAGTGTAGAAGTGAGCCAGGCTGCTTTGTGTTAGAGATGAGATAAGAGTGTAGAAGTGAGCCAGGCTGCTTTGTGTTAGAGATAAGATAAGAGTGTAGAAGTGAGTCAGGCTGCTTTGTGTTAGAGATGAGATAAGAGTGTAGAAGTGAGCCAGGCTGCTTTGTGTTAGAGATAAGATAAGAGTGTAGAAGTGAGCCAGGCTGCTTTGTGTTAGAGATAAGATAAGAGTGTAGAAGTGAGCCAGGCTGCTTTGTGTTAGAGATGAGATAAGAGTGTAGAAGTGAGCCAGGCTGCTTTGTGTTAGAGATAAGATAAGAGTGTAGAAGTGAGCCAGGCTGCTTTGTGTTAAGGATGAGATAAGAGTGTAGAAGTGAGCCAGGCTGCTTTGTGTTAGGGATGAGATAAGAGTGTAGAAGTGAGCCAGGCTGCTTTGTGCTAGAGATGAGATAAGAGTGTAGAAGTGAGCCAGGCTGCTTTGTGTTAGAGATAAGATAAGAGTGTAGAAGTGAGCCAGGCTGCTTTGTGTTAGAGATGAGATAAGAGTGTAGAAGTGAGCCAGGCTGCTTTGTGTTAGAGATGAGATAAGAGTGTAGAAGTGAGTCAGGCTGCTTTGTGTTAGAGATAAGATAACAGTGTAGAAGTGAGCCAGGCTGCTTTGTGTTAGAGATGAGATAAGAGTGTAGAAGTGAGCCAGGCTGCTTTGTTTTAGAGATGAGATAAGAGGATGTGGAAGTGAGTCAGGCTGCTTTGTGTTAGAGATAAGATAAGAGTGTAGAAGTGAGCCAGGCTGCTTTGTGTTAGAGATGAGATAAGAGTGTAGAAGTGAGCCAGGCTGCTTTGTGTTAAGGATGAGATAAGAGTGTAGAAGTGAGCCAGGCTGCTTTGTGTTAGGGATGAGATAAGAGTGTAGAAGTGAGCCAGGCTGCTTTGTGTTAGAGATAAGATAAGAGTGTAGAAGTGAGCCAGGCTGCTTTGTGCTAGAGATGAGATAAGAGTGTAGAAGTGAGCCAGGCTGCTTTGTGTTAGAGATAAGATAAGAGTGTAGAAGTGAGCCAGGCTGCTTTGTGTTAGAGATGAGATAAGAGTGTAGAAGTGAGCCAGGCTGCTTTGTGTTAGAGATGAGATAAGAGTGTAGAAGTGAGTCAGGCTGCTTTGTGTTAGAGATAAGATAAGAGTGTAGAAGTGAGCCAGGCTGCTTTGTGTTAGAGATGAGATAAGAGTGTAGAAGTGAGCCAGGCTGCTATGTTTTAGAGATGAGATAAGAGGATGTGGAAGTGAGTCAGGCTGCTTTGTGTTAGAGATAAGATAAGAGTGTAGAAGTGAGCCAGGCTGCTTTGTGTTAGAGATGAGATAAGAGTGTAGAAGTGAGCCAGGCTGCTTTGTGTTAGAGATAAGAGGATGAGATAAGAGGATGAGATAAGAGGATGAGATAAGAGGATGAGATAAGAGGATGAGATAAGAGGATGGGATAAGAGGATGAGATAAGAGGATGAGATAAGAGGATGAGATAAGAGGATGTGGAATGTAGTACTAACCGGGTAGTGAGGGGGTTTCAAGCCACAGAACTCACTCTCTGCAACAGGCCAGTCTCCAACAAAACACCCGCAGTACATTACCCAACAGTATAACAACACGTGCACCAGAGAAATTAGAGTGAAAAGGTAACCAACAACAAGGGACTACTACTGAGTTTTAATGCTGAGTAACGTGAGAGTGTAGCGTGTAAAGTTGCGGTTCTCTCTCAATAGCACACAAATAATAACATCACAGAGGGGAGGGTGAAGGAAGAAGAGCTGCTGCTGCTTGGGGGGAGGCGTGTAAACTTGCATAATCACATCAGAGAAGCAGTTAGGAAGCTAATTACCCACATGAATTACGTCATTAAGAGAGCTCTGATGGGAGATGCTTAACAACTACCTCTCAATAGCAGATACCTAATTGCTTGCTACATAGTTTACTCAAGCAGTCGAGTGGTGAGCATCAGTAATAACCCCAAAATAGATCCATTACAGGCACGTTGAAGGTAGACATGACACAATTCACATGTCAATCTTCTTTTAACCTATGATCATAAAGGAAATAAAGGAAATATAGCGGAAATATAAAGGAAATATAAAGGAAATATAAAGGAAATATAAAGGAAATATAAAGGAAATATAAAGGAAATATAGAGGAAATATAAAGGAAATATAAAGGAAATATAAAGGAAATATAAAGGAAATATAGAGGAAATATAAAGGAAATATAAAGGAAATATAAATATAAAATCCTGGTCAAGGAAAAACACTGGTCAGAACTTAAAACATGACTTCTAAATTAACGGTGTTTAATTAATTTATCATGCAGTGATACTATTATACTACTACTGCAGTTGCGACTCAACTCCATTACTAAATCAATGTTATGATCAGGTCATGTGACATCTACAGCCGGTAATGGTAGTAAACAAACAAACAAGCAGCTTTTAATTGCTACTCCAAATATAGTCACTCATATTTAAAATGATGAGTGTAAGGTAGACGTAGGGCGGAAAACACAGACCACAGACCACAGACCACAGACAAGAGAGGAAGCATATGTGGACAAGTTATGCTACCGTTAGTTAAGGTAGTAAACAAACAAACAAGCAGCTTTTAATTGCTACTCCAAATATAGTCACTCATATTTAAAATGATGAGTGTAAGGTAGACGTAGGGCGGAAAACACAGACCACAGACCACAGACCACAGACAAGAGAGGAAGCATATGTGGACAAGTTATGCTACCGTTAGTTAAGGTAGTAAACAAACAAACAAGCAGCTGTTAATTACTACTCCAAATATAGTCACTCATATTTAAAATGATGAGTGTAAGGTAGACGTAGGGCGGAAAACACAGACCACAGACCACAGACCACAGACCACAGACAAGAGAGGAAGCATATGTGGACAAGTTATGCTACCGTTAGTTAAGGTAGTAAACAAACAAACAAGCAGCTTTTAATTGCTACTCCAAATATAGTCACTCATATTTAAAATGATGAGTGTAAGGTAGACGTAGGGCGGAAAACACAGACCACAGACCACAGACCACAGACAAGAGAGGAAGCATATGTGGACAAGTTATGCTACCGTTAGTTAAGGTAGTAAACAAACAAACAAGCAGCTGTTAATTACTACTCCAAATATAGTCACTCATATTTAAAATGATGAGTGTAAGGTAGACGTAGGGCGGAAAACACAGACCACAGACCACAGACCACAGACGAAGCATATGTGGACAAGTTATGCTACCGTTAGTTAAGGTAGTTTGTGGTATTCTGCTAAGAAGTAAATAGCACTGCAGATAAATCACAAAGTATAAAGCAGGCCACCAGTTAGTATACAAGGATGTCAATACTATTATCAGAGGTGAGGTACTCTTCCGACAGTTTTATCTATCCGGCTTGGCAATAACATTCCTTAACTTATATAACTGTGCTCATTTTTTATCTAAAATTCCAATGAACGTATATTTCATGCTATACTGTACGTTTCAATATTAAATAAATCTTTAGATTAATTTTAGGAGAACTTAATAATTAATAAGTGTGATGGCCCAGCTGTGAACCTAAAAATAATATTTTCGAAGTCAGCCAAATTTTTGTACGCGACATAAACAATAAAATTATAACATGGTACGATATGCAATTTCTTTCTGCAAGGTCTGGATAAAATGCGCACAGCAATACATCTAATATATAAAGTTTGTTTGCTCCACATAATTTAATTTTGTTAAAAAGTTCCCACAGCGTACTAATGCTGTCACTAAATGGTAGACTTTGGCGGATCCTAAAGAATGATACCGTATAAGTATTTGCGTAATTCCACAAATCTAGAGCGACGTTCTGGAAGTGGTACCATGTTCATTAAATTACCATGTTTAATGTTTATTAAATACCGTTAATAAAAACACACGTATCATAGTTAGTTAATGTTGCATCTTGGATGCTTTTAAGACTGCAACATAAAGTCATGCCAGGACTTAAGATATCACACAGTTTCGCTGGTTGGGGAATTGTTTAAGCAAGGGTGGTTACACCTGTAGGTTGGTGGACTTACAATTCATATTTATTTATCAGTCAGGACATGTCAACTTCAGACCCAACTTACTATCAATTTGAACTTACATTAATTTGTTGTGCGACAGCACTTTCAGGCTGGGGTGCACTTGGAGGTACTGGATTGGAAACCAACTTTGGACATCTTGTTTTCAAACAAACGGAGTAATGCATGATCAGTTAAACAAAACAGGCAGCAAATAAGATTTATTAATTCTAACTGATCTTTATTTTATCTCAGATGATAACGACCGATAAGGCGGACATAGTTCATGATTTAACTTGTCATCAGATCAATACATTAAAAATGGATATCGTTTTAAAAACGCTATCAGAATATCATTTAAAATGTTTTAGCCGCACAAACTCCGGATACTGAAACTCTGCCAAAGCACAAGGTGCACTCTTCTGATCAAACACAAGGTCAAAATGTTCACTATTCTTTATATCTGCACGTTAAGAGTGACGACAAATATGCACTATAACTATCGCATATGAGGACTACAGTTAATGCATGTGCTTAATAATAAATGTACGCTAAATTCTTGAAAACGTCAGAGTGAGCACAACTCGAGGAGATGCCAATAATGCAGTCTCAAACGAACTGTAAATAGCGTACAGGAGTTGCTTTAATAATTTGAGAGTACAATTATCAACTCCACATAGTTTCTAGTGCATGTTAACTTGCGAAGTTGTCAGTATACATTGCATGAGGCCCTCCACCGCGCCATGATGTACTAAGCAATGTACCGCTACATTCCGTTACATTCAGTCCCTCTAGCTAGACGGTATGTGCTAAGTGCCGTTAATCCAGTGTGTCGTTACATTCAGTCCCTCTAGCTAGACGGTATGTGCTAAGTGCCGTTAATCCAGTGTGTCGTTACATTCAGTCCCTCTAGCTAGACGGTATGTGCTAAGTGCCGTTAATCCAGTGTGTCGTTAGCACAAAGTGCTACTACGCCCAACAGCTGAGCAAAATACAAATTAACACGTTTTAGACCTATAGTTCTCTACAAGTCTACAGTCTACATGGCTACATACACACAGCTCAACAATTTAATCCACATTTTTCAAGGAGCGGATTAAATTACCAGCTATGCGTAAGTGACGTTCTATAACGGCTCTTTATCGTGCGTTTAATTTAGTTTGTTATTTAAAATGTGTAGGAACAATAGCAATTCAAAATTAGTATAAGATAGGGTTTAGTTTGGCTGTTGAAAACTATTCATCAACTTGTGATGCCAAAAGCAAAAGGTAGGAAACATTAGCAACTTAAGATATAGAGCCGAATGGAAGTAGTTCGGGTAATATGACGTGGAATGTACTGGTCCATGCTACAACTACATTCTAAGAGAGTCCCGAGTTAAAAGCCCGGATAGGAGCCCCGGATAGGAGCAAAGTGAAATGACGCGGGACACATTAAAACTGTGACCTCACAAACTCTCATGGAACACAGTACATAGTAGCTGGAAGTTTGTCTGTAACAAGCAGTGAACAGACAGCATTAAGGAAACACTAATGAGGTAATATAACAAATATAACAAACTGTCCAGTACACGCGTGCTATTTCCTGCGCGCCACCTCATAACTGCTTCAGTTACACAATGTTATTGTGAGAGATATTTCTAGAACACTAATATAAATAACTCATCGCGACAAAAAGAAGAAGCACTAATGCAATGTCTAAACAACGGTTCTCTTCAATATGGCTCATTTCGGAGGTTGAGTAGCGAATAGTAAGTTGAGACTGCGGAAATGCCGTGTCACGTGTTAGATTTATTATGTCTAAACTGTTCACGTGAAGTGCTTGTCGGTGGTCTGTAGTTCTTGTAATTTTTGCTATTAATAGATTTATATGTATATGCGCAACACTATCTTACTATATATAAATCGAGACGATATATGTATATTATATGTAATAAATAGTTGTTGCTTGGTTTCCCAAAGAGAGTGCTCGACTGCAGTTAATTCGAACAATTGAACAAATCAAATTGGCGGGCAAACGATCCGTTTCATGATATGTATAAAACAATACCAATCATCAGTGCCAAATAGAATAATTAACTGTAGCGCTATGACATGTTTCTCCTTTATAAAATAATTTGTATCGATTATGAAACATTTATATATGCAATGTATATATATCCGTACCATTTTACTGACACCACGGCATCAACTTTAACACGAATTTCCTCAAAACCCGTAAAAGATATAACACTTAAACGTTTTGACTTCAAATTAGCATGAAAAAATAAAAAATTGGCCAAGGAATATGAATCTTAGTTCCCAAAATTTGGACCCCCATGTGATGTCAAAAACACGAATTAAATAGGTAATAATTATTTTAGTAGAAGATTTTATTGATAAATCCCTGTTATGTGTTAGTGTTACACATCAAAATAGATAGGGCTCACCCCACGCTTGAAGCACAATTCTAAATGAAGCAAGAGAAAAAATTCCTGCACATGAGGGTGGCACGAGATTAATAATGATCTCCAACAAGCGCTCAGGTCGAATATCATCAATGAAATGTTACTACTGCTCCTGCTCGATTACAGTAAAGCCTTTGACGTGCTTGATCATGAGACCTTGCTTAAGAAGCTTGACCATTATGGGATCAGGGGAGTCGCGCACGAATGGTTTAGATCTTACCTTTGTAATCGATCTCAATACGTAACTTTAAACGGAACTTGCTCTTCTAGCATGCCCATAGTTTACGGCGTACCTCAGGGTAGCATTTTAGGACCTCTCTTATTTGTAATTTATATAAACGACCTACCTGGAATTAGTGATTTTGCAAAGTTCATCCTTTATGCCGACGACGCAAACATATTAATTAGTGGAACCACCCTAGAAGAAATACAATTAAAAGCTAATCAGCTAATTTCACGTCTTGTAGATTGGGTAGGTGTTAATGGGCTATCTTTAAATGTAAAAAAGACGTGTTACATGATTTTCACTAGAAAAAGAATTGACTTCAGCGGCTTTAATTTGTCCATTGACAACACTGTAATCGAACGTAAGACTGAAGCAAGATTTTTAGGAGTAATCCTAGACGAAAAGCTCACTTGGCAAAAACACATTACGGCCGTTAGAATAAAGATGGGTCGCTACCTCGGAGTTATGTATAAGCTAAAGCACCTTCTACCTATCAAAGCCCGCCTAAACATTTTCCAAAGCCTTATCCAATCCCATCTAAATTTCTGTTCTTTAGTGTGGGGATTTGCCTCAAAATGTCACATTGAATCTCTGTTCACCAAGCAAAAGCAGGGAATTAGAGCTGTTATGTCAGGATATGTAAATTATAGATATAAAGACGGCAATCCCCCGGAGCACACAAAAAGTGCGTTTAGATTGCATAATATCCTAACAGTCCATAGCGTCATTGTAAAAAACGCTCTTATTCTACTACACAAAGTAAGGAACATGCCAAGCCTTCTCCCTAAATCCATCAAAGAACTTTTCCCTCACGATATTCCCACCTATAATTCCACATACGAACATAACCTTTCTTGGTTCACAACTTACAACGGCCCAACATTTAGAAATACTCTTTTCTTCAAAGGACCCATGCTCTCTATTACTAAACAAAGTAAGGATATAACTATTCCAAGTTCTACCTTTTCAATTGAAATCTTTAAAAATTCAGCTAAGCGCGAACTCCTCAAGCTGCAAAGCTCAGGAGACGATGAAAATTGGCCAAATTTCTTACTTTATAGTATACCTGGGCTAAGAAAGTCTCAAAGAGAAGGGCGCTCGCAAATAGACTACAGCACCGAGTTAGTAAGCGACAACGAGTAAAGAAAGATCACTCGCGACAAATGACTATGATCTTTTATCAACAACATATCATTTTAATTTCACTGCCATTATGCAATGCCGAATTTACATCTGCCGCGCAAAACTTTTTATCTATTATTATTAAATAGTAATTAGCATGTTTACAAATTGCGACTTCAACCAGTTTTGCAGACCGTTAGTTATATAGTACTTTTAGTAGGGCATTTATTTTAATATATTTATTTTACATTATTATATTTTAGTGTGACTTCTATAATTTCATTTATGTAATAACCATTGATCAATAAATTGCGGCACACGCCAACCTCCACCGTGGGGTTTCAAAACAAAACAAAAACAAAGTGAGTAATGCTCATAAACAACATAGGAATGTGTAACTCCAGGAATAAGATACCTGTACCGCAAATAAACTTAACCGATTACTTAACAATTTGGAGGATGTAGAATGTAGATCACATTAAACCAATTAAGTCATTGGTCAGAGAATAAATGCAGATATTCTAGCCCATCAGCTCGGAATTTAGATAAACAATGTCGACACTTGCGGAAATATGTCAATCTCACTAGATAAACACAGACACAGCCCAGTTCTGGCACTGATCAGCTGGAAAAACGTGACAGTGCCGGGTTTTAATGAAATTATAACAAGCTTATGTGAGCTAAGCAAGAAAAATGATCTAATTTAAATAAGATAGGAAAGCGAATTGAGCCCCCCTGTGTTAATTATACTTAATTGGGTGGTCTACAAATGCTGTACCGGCTTCATTCTATACCGGCCCGGCTTCATTCTATCAGTTAATTTGACAAGCCATATTATTGGCATAATGCGACAAGCCACTATTTTACATAGAAAATCGTAAAAAGTTGCAAAGCAAACTATTTTAAAAATTGTTGTAGCTATTATATAATAAGATACTGCAAAAGATTACACAACAGCTTAATGTTTATTCTATTATAGAGGTCGAGGGTTTCAATCTATCTGAAACACTCGCCCGCAGACACTAAATGTGGACAAAAGATTGTCCAGGAATGTGGTACCATTAGCACAAAGAGCTCTACATAGCTTGAAGTGGCACAGTGTAAACACATCCTCAACAGTCAACAGTAACGAGCTTTAATAAGCTAGTTAAATAAAGTGTACAGTGTACACGTACTCTTGTTCCACAAACTCTGTCAAAATAGAGTACGCTACCGGGACAATAGTTCGAAACGTTCTGTTCGACAAGAGAACTCGGACTGTCGAACTAGGGTACGCTACAAGAGAAATACGACTGGGTAAAAGAGATAATCATGAAAATAAATTTTGTAATTTTGTAATTTAGATTAGCTTTCTATTCAGCTTTTTTATTGAGCAATTTTGAGTCACACATAGGACAGGATGACGGAGTTCAACTATCTATCGTAAAGAAATTGGAGATAAAGGGATAAAGAAATTACATGGATAAATTTGAAAATTGGAGTTGGTGGTTGAGATAACAAAAAGGTACACGAAAAGTCGTCCCGAATATTTTCTGTGAGCAATGATGAAACAGAACAGACAGATCCACATTCCACATCCATTTAAAACAGTTATAATATGAACAGCGCAGAACGTAAAAGAAAACACAACACAGAGGGGCCAAGCATTGCATCCGGGAAGAAAGAATAACAAAGCGAGACCTATAATGTAATCAGATATAATATCACTTACCTCGGAACTACATCCCGGCAAAGCATAATAACTCTCTCTGTCGTGTATTCGGATTCCTGAAATACCAAGGCTACAGTCAATAGTTAGCAAGTTTAATAATATTTAAGTATTCGCCTTAACAGCACTTTGTTACAGAGCAAAATACAACCTATCTCGAAGTTTATAAATAATGCAAATACAACACGGCCGTAAAAAGCTGGCCGCTAATAGCTCAAAATTTCTTTATAATTACAAATAAGCTCAAAATTAAGGAACTATCTAAAATGTAGATGTCCGACATGACATAGCATCTAAGGCGGTAGGCCGTGCAATTTTAGCGGGAAAATGTTTCGGTCGAATGTTAATATAATTAAAGAGGAATTCCACAAAATATGTTTCGGCGGAATTCAACCATGGGATTCCACGGAGTTGTGTCGGACTTTTTGGATAGAGGCCAGCCTTTCGTGGCTGTGTTATAATCAATATTTTGGTGGGAAGTTGCGGCATGTTTTTGTCACGTGACAGAAATTAGCCAATCAGTTTCGAATATTAATCAATCAAACCCCATAATCACTGTCACGTGTCTAAAAATATGCCTCACCAGAGGCAGAATCCACATCTGTATGGTCGTTTCATTTGGTTAGATTAATGAAAATGTGTAATTGTAAGAATAATCCACCTGTAATTGAGCTGAATCTGTTCCCCATGTCGAAATGCTGAGTACTTCAAATTACAATCAAAACTTAAAACAGCATGTCAGGCAGAACAATCATTCTTCAACTACAGCGTGCGTGGAGATTGATTGGAGACACACGCTGTTACCATGGTTACTACATGTTACGCCCACTTCTTCTTCGTATCAATATATTCATTTAACAGCGGTTTCTCTGAAGCGGTTTCTCTGAAAAACATTGGATGAATGATAACTTTGTGACCAGTACGCATCATGCTCTTGTTTAAAATACAAGCACAAGCACTGGTGATATTTTGAAGTATAGTGATATCAAGGGTCAACTAATCAAGACCAGTTTGTTTACTCCGATCCTATCCCCCAGTTATTTATCCTACAATTATCTTCTCGAGAGATTCACACTATCTTGAGGGTCGGTAACACATTACGAATACCAAATTATTCCTATTTGCAATTTGAGACCCCTACCCCAGTACCCCACCTTAATCACTTCGACACGTACTTGTTGTGCGAAAATTATGCAAACACAAAAATTCCCCCTCCTCCGCCTTGGGCTGCTTACGTTATCTGTGGATGAACTCTTAAGTCTTAGGTCGGGAAACCAGTTTCACATGTGCTCGATCGCCGTTGTGCATTGACTGGCAATCTAAGCGATCAGAGTTTTGCAAATGTCTACCATGCGCGCTAAAGTCAGTACGTTACCAGGAAATCACAAAACTGCAGGTTTTGCAACGCGCGTTACAGAAAACATACCAAAATGTGTGCCCGTCTCACGATGAAGTGGGACTAAGTTAGCTTCTACCGTGCTACGTTATCATATATTATATTATATATATTTTAATACTTTCAACACTACTATATAACAAATAATTTGAGTGCTATGTAACCAGGCGGCAAATTTGAAATGGGTTATGATGGGGTCCGTAGTCCCCACACATAGTATAATGTCCTTGTTTTACTGACTACTTCAATGAAGAACGTACATATTATATATTACTCGTAAGTCGTAATTCGTATCCAACATTTATCAAACAGAATTAATTATTAAATTCAGGGACGCTGCAAGTTGATTACAGTGAAAATTAAATACAAATTCCCTGATATCTATCTGAATTCTGAATTCTAAACGCAGAATATCTTTTAAGGAATGATCAATGATTGTCGTTTTGTTTAATTATAAATAGGGATCATTCACATTATTAAAACCGCTCTCATTGTTGACATGCATTGTTGATATGGGCGGTGTATAAACATTTTTTGATTTCATTTCATTTAAAGATTTAAGATATTTTCTCAGTTCCGCAGGTAGTCCCACCGTTTTGTCATATTAGACACAGTATAATCGGGAGAAAGAAAGCTTGGTAGTAATTCTCAGAGGCAAATAAAAAAGTGTTTAGTACTACAACAAATTTTGTAAGATTATGGGCCAGCCATTTGTTCAATCAGAATACAAAAATTCTAACATAAATTTTCAAAATTACTTCCAAAACAAAAGTCATTAAACTTAGTTTTATGCTTAATTCAGAAAGATTCAATCAATATAATTATAGGCTTTCTGTCAATAATAATATCCGAAATCAGCAATAATTCAAGAAGTCTAAAATCCAAAAGCATCGCCAATGATCAAGTTTTTGCTCCATGATGGTTAACATGGTCTAACAAGTCTAACGTCCCCCGTAAGTTGCCACATCAAGCGTTTGTCTTTGCCATGAACTCCCAGTTATTGAGCATTAGTTTCTGTAGAGCTAATAATGCCGCTGATTTTACCTGAAAAAAGGCTAATTTAACGATTTGTTCTAGCAAAGGCTCTAGACAATTTTAATCGACCGGCTATGTAAACCTTTTTAGTCATGGATCTGACGACATTCCCGTCTATATAACTTCCGCCCCGGGGTTTGAGACTTGGAATACCTCAAGGGACCCATTAGAAACAAATTTGGCTTGGGTAGAAATTTTGGCTATGGTGCAGTTTTGCGCAATTGACCACGCCCTTTTTTGGCGCTTTTGCAACTTTAGAATCAAAATAACTCCGCTTCTAATTGGAATTAGAAGCTCAGCTTGGCTTTAAAGTTGTTCAGAATCATCACATTTAGGGGGGTAGAGCATAATTTTAAAGTCAACAGACATCGGGTTGTTGAGTTATGTGACCACACCCTTATTTACCCTCGCGAGTCGTGATTTTCACACTAAATACGAGATATCTCGGCTTCTGATTGAGCTACGTGCTCATCCTGGGCATTAAAATGTTCAGAATCATCACATTGAGTAGGGTAGAGCACAATTTCAAAGTCCTCAGATGTCAGGTTGTTGAGTTATTAGGCCCCAACCTGTTTTTACGCTCTCGCGGGTAGCGATTGCAGCGCTTAAAATCAAAATAACTCAGCTTCCAATTGAAGTTAGGAGCAAAACTCGGGGAGCAAAATGTTCACAATCATCACATTGAGTGGGGTAAAACGTAGTTTCAAAGTCCTCAGACGTCAGGTTGTTGAGTTATTAGGCCCCGCCCAAATGTTTACGCACTCGCGAGTCCCGATTCGACGCTTAAAATCAAAATAACTCTGCTTCTGATTAGAGTTAGGAACTAAACTTGGGCATAAAAATGTTCAGAATCATCACATTGAGTGGGGTAGAACGTAGTTTCAAAGTCCTCAGACGTCAGGTTGTTGAGTTATTAGGCCCCGCCCAAATGTTTACGCACTCGCGAGTCCCGATTCGACGCTTAAAATCAAAATAACTCTGCTTCTGATTAGAGTTAGGAACTAAACTTGGGCATAAAAATGTCCAGAATCATCACATTGAGTGGGGTAGAACGTAGTTTCAAAGTCCTCAGACGTCAGGTTGTTGAGTTATTAGGCCCACACCATAGTATTTATGCTCTCGCGAGTCGCTAGTGGACACTTAAAATCAAAATAACTCGGCTTCTGATTAGAGTTAGGAACAAAACTTGGGCATGGAAATGTTCAGAATTATCATATTAAGTGGGGTAGAACATAGTTTCAAAGTCTTCAGACGTCAGGTTGTTGAGTTATTAGGCGGAACCCTATTTTTACGCTCTCGCAAGTCGACACTTAAAATCAAAATAACTCGGCTCCTGATTAGAGTTAGGAACAAAAGTTGGGCATGGAAATGTTCAGAATTATCATATTAAGTGGGGTAGAACATAGTTTCAAAGTCTTCAGACGTCAGGTTGTTGAGTTATTAGGCGGAACCCTATTTTTACACTCTCGCGAGTTGCGAGATGAAACTTAAAATCAAAATAACTCGGCTTCTGATTAGGGTTAGGAACAAAACTTGGGCATGGAAATGTTCAAAATTATCATATTAAGTGGGGTAGAACATAGTTTCAAAGTCTTCAGACGTCAGGTTGTTGAGTTATTAGGCGGAACCCTATTTTTACGCTCTCGCAAGTCGACACTTAAAATCAAAATAACTCGGCTCCTGATTAGAGTTAGGAACAAAAGTTGGGCATGGAAATGTTCAGAATTATCATATTAAGTGGGGTAGAACATAGTTTCAAAGTCTTCAGACGTCAGGTTGTTGAGTTATTAGGCGGAACCCTATTTTTACACTCTCGCGAGTTGCGAGATGAAACTTAAAATCAAAATAACTCGGCTTCTGATTAGGGTTAGGAACAAAACTTGGGCATGGAAATGTTCAAAATTATCATATTAAGTGGGGTAGAACGTGGTTTCAAAGTCTTCAGACGTCAGGTTGTTGAGTTATTAGGCGGAACCCTATTTTTACGCTCTCGCGAGTCGCGAGTCGACACTTAAAATCAAAATAACTCGGCTTCTGATTAGAGTTAGGAACAAAACTTGGGCGTGGAAATGTTCAAAATTATCATATTAAGTCGGGTAGAACGTGGTTTCAAAGTCTTCAGACGTCAGGTTGTTGAGTTATTAGGCGGAACCCTATTTTTACGCTCTCGCGAGTCCCGAGTCGACACTTAAAATCAAAATAACTCGGCTTCTGATTGGAGTTAGGAACTAAACGTGGACATAAAAATGGTCAGAATTATCACATTGAGTGGGAAAGAGTGTGGTTGTACGGGATTTATAGAGTATTCACTGTTTGCTCTGGGCGAAACTTACTTTTTCTGGTTATTAATTTAATTTTCAAAAAATAGGGTGCTGCCTAATAACTCAACAACCTGACGTCTGAAGACTTTGAAACCACGTTCTTCCCCACTTAATATGATAATTCTGAACATTTCCATGCCAAACTTTTGTTCCTCACTCTAATCAGGAGCCGAGTTATTTTGATTTTAAGTGTCGACTTGCGAGAGTGTAAAAATAGGGTTCCGCCTAATAACTCAACAACCTGACGTCTGAAGACTTTGAAACCATGTTCTACCCCACTTAATATGATAATTCTGAACATTTCCATGCCCAACTTTTGTTCCTAACTCTAATCAGGAGCCGAGTTATTTTGATTTTAAGTGTCGACTTGCGAGAGCGTAAAAATAGGGTTCCGCCTAATAACTCAACAACCTGACGTCTGAAGACTTTGAAACCACGTTCTACCCCACTCAATGTGATAATTCTGAACATTTTTATGCCCAAGTTTTGTTCCTAATTCTAATCAGAAGCCGAGCTATTTTTATTTTAAGTGTCCACTCGCGACTCGCGAGAGCATAAATACTATGGTGTGGGCCTAATAACTCAACAACCTGACGTCTGAGGACTTTGAAACTACGTTCTACCCCACTCAATGTGATGATTCTGAACATTTTTATGCCCAAGTTTAGTTCCTAACTCTAATCAGAAGCAGAGTTATTTTGATTTTAAGCGTCGAATCGGGACTCGCGAGTGCGTAAACATTTGGGCGGGGCCTAATAACTCAACAACCTGACGTCTGAGGACTTTGAAACTACGTTCTACCCCACTCAATGTGATGATTGTGAACATTTTGCTCCCCGAGTTTTGCTCCTAACTTCAATTGGAAGCTGAGTTATTTTGATTTTAAGCGCTGCAATCGCTACCCGCGAGAGCGTAAAAACAGGTTGGGGCCTAATAACTCAACAACCTGACATCTGAGGACTTTGAAATTGTGCTCTACCCTACTCAATGTGATGATTCTGAACATTTTAATGCCCAGGATGAGCACGTAGCTCAATCAGAAGCCGAGATATCTCGTATTTAGTGTGAAAATCACGACTCGCGAGGGTAAATAAGGGTGTGGTCACATAACTCAACAACCTGATGTCTGTTGACTTTAAAATTATGCTCTACCCCCCTAAATGTGATGATTCTGAACAACTTTAAAGCCAAGCTGAGCTTCTAATTCCAATTAGAAGCGGAGTTATTTTGATTCTAAAGTTGCAAAAGCGCCAAAAAAGGGCGTGGTCAATTGCGCAAAACTGCACCATAGCCAAAATTTCTACCCAAGCCAAATTTGTTTCTAATGGGTCCCTTGAGGTATTCCAAGTCTCAAACCCCGGGGCGGAAGTTATATAGACGGGAATGTCGTCAGATCCATGACTATTTAGCAGCAAAAAGACTTACGTACACTGAAAAAAATAAATAAGGTTTTTTATTTATGTCTTGGGATTAACCATATCTTCTGTTCTATACATTCAGTTCGTTATATAAAGACGGTTAACTTTGACGAAGGCTTCAACGTCTTCAATTTTGACCATTTTAAAGGCTTCGCCGTCTTTAATTCATCGCAACCCGTCTTTAAATTTATTGGTAGAAGTAAGGTCAGTGTGTGAAATGTGCTTTATTATATATCCGATCTATTTTTAGACCTGTTGTGTCGTCTTTAATTTTTCGATTTTGAAGCCTAGCCGTCTTTAATTTTAGTTCATTTGAAGATTTTGTCTTTATAAAGGGCGTCTTTTAAAAAACAAACTGAGTGTAATGGGCTTCATTTCGAACGAGACTGCAGTTACAGCTGATGTAAAATAGGATATTTCCCTTCTACAATTATTTGCTCATATTTGCTCACATTGAATACTTATGATATCTCTTGGACTTCAAAATAAGCAAATTTTACTGCGACTGATATCAATGGTTATAAACGTAGATATTATCTAATTTTATTCGTTCAACGTTTAGACTATTTTAATCTAGGTCAGGTTTTTTGCTCTCTAATCTCTATGCCCCTACCTTACGTCCGTTTTCGAACCAGCAATGTTCATAGCTTCCCAAATTTTCCGCCAGCACAATTATATCCTCTGAAGATTCGTTCAATTCGGCTTTTATTGTTGCTTCATAAAGTCTCGAGTGATATAAAAGAGACAGATGAGCCCTTTGTAGTTTCAATTAATGGCTACAATATTTAATTGATTTGATTCAGAATACCATTGTTATTCCAAATTTGTTATTAGCAAGTTCCATATTATATATTACTAGAAAGCTCGTGGTCACAGGGAGGAAGCTAATAGTATTCATAGTTACTATGCAACTTCCTATTTCTCGTCTAATTTGCACGTGGGCGGTCGTACAGTAAGACATGTATATAAATCGCAAAGTCATACTTATTCATGAACAGTGACTGTATAGTGTTACTTTGTTCACAGTTGTTTTTACTCATAATCTGATCCATCGATTTTCATGTTTCAAAAAGCATAATTCTTTTCAAGAGGTCTTTAAAGTGTTTTTAATCTAAACAAATAGGTAATCTTTAAGATCACGGTGACTAAAATTTATCTTATTTTCTCAGTTATCATATAATGTGATGCTGTTAAAAGCATCGTAACTCGTTCATGGGTTTGTAAATATGAATCGTATAGGATTGACAAAATCTCGAAATATCAATTTGGA